TCAGGCCGAGCTCACCGAAATGGTGGGCACCGTCATCTCAACGTCTTTCGCCTCTTCCTCTTCCAGGTCGCCTCGCCCAGAGATTCCGGAAAGGTTCTCAAAATTGGGAAACCACAAGGAACCAACAATTTCAGATTTTAAGGGACTAGCGGACCTAATCCCTCTTTTGCAAACCATCCTTTTGGGGGTTGACTCCTTTTTTGGTGAACCCTCCAAAGAACCGGGTCACACTAAATAACAAGGTCCCAACTCTGTAACCGGGAAGAAGCAGTCATCATGCAGGTGATGCAAAACTTTTCGCGAGGGGCAATCCGGGTCTGACATTGGCACCGGTGAGGAATCCCTCATTTGTGCGGTAATGTTGCGTGACCCTTTGGATAGTTGTCACATGTGCCACAGATGATGGCCAAGAAACCCTTTCCAAGGATGGCAGGAATGGCAGTCTAACCGGGTGTGCAGTCCCATGCTTTGTGGGTGGTCAGGATACCTGCCAGAACGCCACTGCACCAACCCGGAAAATCCCCCGACGATCCCCAAACCTCCCACCCTTCGAACCAAACCTCTTCCCGTTCAACCCGCCCAACCCCCCCGCGCCTGGGCCGCCGCCCCCCGAGCTGAGCCCGCCCCAGCACACCAGGCGCCCACTTCGCAGCGCGCAGAAGGCCCCTGAGGAGGCCACCAGCGAGGTGACCCCATGCAGCTGCGCCTCGCAAGGCCCGGAGAAGTCGGTTCCTTGTTGGTCTCTTGTATGTGCCAAACGAGCGGATGTTCATGTTGGTTTCCCTAAGGTGGACAAGGTGCTGAGCGGTGCACTTTCGCCCTGGAAGGCGAAGCTCCGGAAAACGAACCCTGGTGGGAGGGGTAAATCAAACAAACTTGGTGGGTTATAGGTAGGTTCTAGCCATGGCTGCAAGTTAGCCCACTCAAAACCATGGTTATCTCCCACTTACAAGACCTTACTAGACTACTAGATAGGTTGGACATTCGAGTGAGCAAGTGGACCAACTGGAGTCATCTTGACACCTGACTCGTAATCCCCCTAGGAATGTGTCCAAACCCAAGGACTTACATTCCGCCATAAGGCCGCCGTTTTAACTGGGATGTCCCTAAACCATCCCAGGAGTTTGAGCTTCTGCAAATGAAAGTGGAACCCCTTAAAGCACATTGTGACCGCTTTTGTGAATTATGGGCCCCAGGAATAGATGCTGCCCTTGTGCACGAGTGTGTGGGTGTACCTGCTTCATGGAGGTTACGGGTTCTGCATATTCAAGGCACCTACCCCCACGTTGAAAAGTCATAGTAAGATTTTCCGGGCGTTCTTTGATCAACACTTCCAACAACAACCTTTCTTCAAATTGTCAAAACAACACTTCCGATTCCACCAATCATGGGTCCTCCATGCTCCCATATCCGGTAACTGTAAACGTACGCTGGCAAATTCCAAGCAGTTGGTTTCTTCTGCGTTGACCTTTAAAGGCTGTTCTGCTTCATTTTGACGCAAGATTCTCACGTTGCAAAACTGATTAACCTGTCCTCTGAGCAAGATAAACTACCTGAAAGGCGGCGTATGCTCCTTCTTCGTCCCTGGCGCGCATCACTGGCATCATCCAGGGGGCAGCCTGGCAGGCTCGGGACAGCTGGACAGGTTGGCGCGCATCACCAGCAGGCTTGCATCACCACCATCATCCAGGGTAGCTTTGGCGACTTGACTGGACAGGTTGGCGTATATCACCAGCAGGCTTGGGACAGGTTTGCGTGCATCACCAGCATCATCCAGGGCAGCTTGCCAGGCTTGCGCAACTTGACTGGACAGGTTGGCGTGCATCACCAGCATCATCCAGGGCAGCCTGGCAGGCTTGGAAGACTTGACTGGACAGGTTGGAGTACATCACCAACATCATTCAGGGCAGCCTGACAGGTTTGGGCAACTTGACTGGACAGGTTGGCGTGCATCACCAGCAGGCTTGGGACAGGTTGGCGTGCATCACGGGCAGCTTGCCAGGCGCGCAACTGGACAGGTTGGCGTGCATCACCCGCATCATCCAGGGCAGCCTGGCAGGCTTGGAAGACTTGACTGGACAGGTTGGAGTACATCACCAACATCATTCAGGGCAGCCTGACAGGTTTGGGCAACTTGACTGGACAGGTTGGCATGCATCACCAGCAGGCCTGGGACAGGTTGGCGTGCATCACCAGCATCATCCAGGGCAGCTTGCCAGGGGCAGCCTGGCAGGCCTGTCCAGGTTGGCCTGCATCACCAGCATCATTCAGGGTAAGCCTGGCAGGCTTGGGACAGGTTGGCGTACATCACCAACATTATTCAGGGCCTGACAGGTTTGGGCAACTTGACTGGACAGGTTGGCCTGCATCACCAGCATCATCGAAGGCAGCTTGGCGAGCTTGGGCGACTTGACTGGACAGGCTGGCATGCATCACCAGCATCATCCAGGGCAGCTTGACTGGACAGGTTGGCGTGCATCAGCAGCATCATTCAGGGCAGCCTGGGCAACTTGACTGGACACGTTGGCGTGCATCATGAGCATGGGAGAGGTTGGTGTGCATCACCAGCATCATCCAGAGTAGCTTGGCAAGCTTGGGACAGGTTGGCCTGCATCACCAGCATCAGGAGACTTGACAGGACAGGTTGGGGTACATCACCAACATTCCTGCCAGGCAGGCCTAGATGATGCTGGTGATTTATGCCAACCTGTCCAGTCAAGTCGCCCAAGCCTGCCAGGCTGCCCTGAATGATGTTGGTGATGTAATTCAGGGCCTGACAGGTTTGGGCAACTTGACTGGACAGGTTGGCGTGCATCACCAGCATCATCGAAGGCAGCTTGGCTGGTGGACAATCACATGATAAGTGAACATAGCTCGTTGCATGATTCAAGAGGTTTCAAAGGTTCAGGAAAGGAGGGAAGACGGCTTTGCGAGGTATTTTTTTCACGAACCCTGGGGCAGAGAGCCGTTGCACACATACATGCATCTCTTCTGTCCCCTTTAGACCTATGTTCCCACCCTCCTGCGCATGGGGACCTGGCCTGCACCGACTGGCTGTCGCCGCCCAACATGGGGAATCCCCAAGTGACGACTCCTGGTGCGGAGGGATCGGCCTACTCTCCAGCAAGGCAGGTGGCGAGCTTCTGATTTCACAACATAGAAGCGAAGGTGAAGACCAAAATGATGCGTATGGAGTCCACTGCGTTTGAAGAAACAACAAGTGAAGTCTCTCAGTCTCTTGTAATTAATTTTCAGAAAACATAATGAAGCAACACACTTGTGCTAGCCTCAAGTTGCACTAAACGATCCGAGTGAGCTCCGTTTAACTGAGGCCTTCACATTTGCGGCGAAAGTTGACAGCGGTGTTGCCCCAGCATGCTCGTGAGGCAATCAAGTTCTCCTGCTGTTTGCCCGGGGGGGTGTGAGGGGGTCCCTGTCTCGCACACCTGAAGCACTGATTCATACCAATTCAAAACATTGACATGGGATCCCCCTTGACTGAGACTTTGAGGAGGCCAGAGCTGGGCTCAAACGGCCTCTGTGAGGAAAGGAGGATGAGGTGCTGTGCAAGTGCATGCTCCACTCCCGAGCAAACCCCAAACAATGGTCCCCAAACGAAAAGGAGAGCTCTTTCCCAAAAACGGGTTCTCTGTTGATCTGCAGCTACTAGATAATTATTGCGAACATGTTTGGCTCTGGCTTTACAATACCCCGACAACCCCATTCTTACTATTTGAGCCTCATAATAAGGGAAAAAGCAATGGCCCTCCTAGGAAAGGTTTGGGTTTGTCTCAAATTAGGGGCAAAAATACTTGGCTTGCTCTTCCTCCAAAAGGGGTACCCTCAAACAAGAAAGCTGTTTGGGGGAACCCCCCTTTCCGGTTGGGGGGAAGCCAACAGAAAACTGACCGGTTTGGGGGTCTAATCGATTTGGCGCCTCCATCCTTCCGCAGCGCCACGAAGGCGCGGCGACTGGCAACCACTCGGTCCACCTAGGGAACGCCCATGTGTCGTGCGTTGGCCTCAAAAAAGGTTGGAAAAAGTGGCGGGAAGATGCTCTGCTAAAAATGGTGGGGGATAAACTCCATTTGTGGTCCTTGTGCCTTTTCGCAAACGGTGGAACTCCCAAGCATGGGTTCAGTTTCTCTTTGACCTCTAAGCCCGAAAATGCGGGTGGGAATCTGGTTCTACGCTACAAAAAAGGGGGAAGAAATGGCTCCCTCCCATCGGTGGAACCTTCTCATGTGAACGCCTCAGTATCGCAGAACACACCAAAATGACCGTGACAAGCCACCAGGAAAAACTGCTCTTAGACATGATGGCTGGCAGGCAACTCCCTTTTTGTCAACTCCCCATCGATCCATCATTGCAAAATCCAAGGTGACCAATTTCCAAACCTACAAACCTGCTCGGACTGACTGGGAACCGTTGACCTAAAAAGGCCCCTGATTCAAATTCAGATGAAATCACCCCCTCCCTCACCCCCCCTTGCCCCTCTTCAACTCACCCGTACCAAATCGCCTCCACGAGCTGATGCCGCACAGCACTGCACTCGCCACCGAAAGCGGTGCTCCCCCAGGTCACCACCCGACCTGCCAAAACGAGCAAGTCCCAAGCCGTCGGCCGAATTCTTTGGGCGTGTGGCTCCCAGTTAGCGCCTCAGCCCCCCAAATGTTGAGCCACGATCAGCCACTTTCAGAACTTACCCAAGAGGGATTGAGTTCTCCCTACATACCCACATCTCTCCGCTGAGAATGAACAGAAGGACCAAATCGGGTGCCATCTCAAAATGTCCAACGCAGGTAGGTGGATACGCAATCACAGGCCCATCACTTTTGCATTCCCCAGCGTAAATCTTCCCGAAACGTTTCAGAGAAGCGAGCCCCCGAATCAGACGGGCCCCTTTCAAACTGACAATTCCCCTTAAGATTGAAGTATGTAGGGCCACAGCTAAAACGTCGCCAAGAGAAACGGTTTGTTGGCACACTCTGATCCAAGCC